CTCATGGGGGCAGTGGCTCAGCAAATCAAGTTTACAGGAGTCATGGGGAGGGTGGGGCAGGCCTGTCTTGCTCCCTTCCCAACCTACCATGGATTTACCAGTCCACCTGCTCTCATGGGTGAGCGCTAGCAACCACCCAGTGTGTGCCACGGTCCTACGCTCTTGCCTTCCTTCATCCATGATGTGTGAAGGGACCCTTCAAATAAATGAGCAAGTGTCCTAAGCAACATCATCCAAAGATTGTCCTTCCTGTCCTCAAATCCTACAACTGGGATCACTCGACAGCACTGTGATGTATTTTCAACGAGGTGCCTTTATTAAATGACCAAATGCTGCCTTGTTTGACCCCTAAATCAATAAAATATGTGAAAGTTTGCATCCCCTGTTGTGGCATTTTTTGAGGGGATCTGGGCTAGTAAAATGACGTTGAATTCTGGATCTGGCTGGGAAGCCCTTTCTTGTGGTCACTAGAAGCTACGAGGTAGGAAGGTCCAAGTGTGCTCATAGATGAGCCTGCACCCTCTTGACCTTCAGCTCATATGCAGGCTCTTTTTGAGCCAGAGGACAAGGCAGCTTGGTCTAGTGTAGATAGCGCTGTGCTTGGCTCAGGGGATGTACAACAAATCCCAGCCAGTCATTTACTCTGCTCCTATTTCCTTGTCTGAAAAGAGACTGGGATGCTGCCTTCTCAGACTTATTAGCATTAAATGAAGTTTATAAGAAGCTTTTTGCCTGGCACACAACAGACACAGGATAAGTATTAGTTGAATCCAAATACACACGGAAAAATATCTGCTCCCTTCCTGGCTAATTGAGTGGACAGTTGTCTGCAGCCCATAAAGCCAGAGCTTCTAATCCCCAAGCCAGATTTTTGGCTGCCTTTTCAGATGCCTCTTGAACACCCTTGGTTGATTCTTTGTAAATCCGTTTCTTCCCCAACAAAAATGAGCTTAAAATTGTCTGTTCAGACTGAAGCTCTCATGCGCTTTGGAAGGGCTGCCAGTGCTGGTGAGGTTTCTGGGAAGTGACTGTGCTCCCTGAAACCGGGGGAGCTGGGCTGGCAGTGCCGCCATTCTTTCAGGCTCCTATTCTGGGGAGAAGCAGAGTTGTCACTGTCACTCCCTGAGCCAGCTCCTCCCTCTTCTGCTTCCCCACTTCCCCACTCTGCAGTCATTTTCGGGTGACAATGTGACTTATTTGCTCTGGCCTCTTCATTCCGAGCTATTTAAATGCCCTGTGAAAATTTTCTTCCCTTCCTTGGTCATCATGCAGTAAACGGGGGGAAATATTTGTCAAAGCAGCCTGGGAGTCTGCGCAGTGTGGTGAAGGAATAAATTGAAAGAAGACCCGGTGAGCTGTTATCCATTCACTCCTCTGGGCTTGGATTCTTCATCTGGAAACCAAGACTGGGTGAGCTAAGAACCGCTGCTGATCCTGCAGGACCACTGTGCCGCGGACGATGCGACAGCTTCACCCCACAGCCTCGCTCGAACCTCAGAAAGCACCCTAGCCGGTCAGAACTGTTGATCTTTCTTGAAGGTGAGGAAACCAAGGCTTAGAGCGGTACAGTAAGACTCTTGAGGTCACACACAAGGGGCAGATTCAAACTGTCCCCTTGATTTTGTTGCTGAAGGGGTTTAGGGACTTGCACAGCTCTACAGCAGGAAGGGCCCCTCAGATAAGAGTTCTTTTTCACGGACACTCACACTCTGCCAGAACTGATTTTGAAGAAGTCACCACCAGTCTGAGGACCCAGGGTGTGTGTCTTAGGGTCTGTGAAGTGCACAAAGGGCTACAGACAGAATGGAGCTGGGTGAGGAGCAGCCTTGGTCTTCAGGAAGCCTCACAGTTCTTCCTCAGAAAGACAGAGAAATGAGTCAGAAGACAGATTTCAGCAGCATTCCTCCACCATGAGACCTTGAGCAAGTCATCTCAACTCATCAGTAGAATAGAAACGGTCCCCGCCCCTCTGGTGTGCTGACAACACTGGTGACCAGTCCACTCGAGTGGGCCAGGATTTCCAGGTACACAGCTGGTGCTTGGTATATGCTGATGGAGTTCACACAGAAAAATGTAGGCATCGGCAAGACCTATTGTTTCACAGACTTAGGGACCAGGCTAAGGATTCTTAACCTGAAGATTCCCTAGGAGTCCATGGACCTCTGAAATTGTGTACAGAATTCTGTATTTTTGTATTTTCATAATTGATGATAATTTAACATATATTTAATGCTTACTGTGTAGTAGTTTCTGCATATGTTATTTATGTCCAATAACCTTGTGGAAGTAAATACTATTATCTCCATGTTATGTGTGTGCATTTTGAGGTTCATCCATCTAGGAGTGTAGAACCAGAGTGAGCCTGGTCTGTGCTCCACACTCCAGCCTCTCACCACTGCACCCATTGCTTTGACACTTTGCTGAGAAAGGAGAAAGATTCTCAAGGCACTTGTGATACAGAGAAGTCTGAGCCATGGGTCTGAATGAAAGAAGAAATTTGAATAGGTTTGCTTTGCCACAGTGCAGGACCTGAGTGGGGAGCGCTGCCTCAGGTGAGGCCCTTTTCTACTTTGGCATTCTTTCTTACTCTCTTGCTTTGAGTGCTAAAGTGCCAGTGTAGTGAATTTGCAAAGCTCTTGGAACCACCCCTATCCCAGAAGGGCCAGAGGGGTGAATCACTGTGGGAGAGAGGAGTCAGTTCCCCCTACCCACCTACCCCTTGCCTGGTTCCAGAAAGGGTGATAACAGGAGAGTGTGTGTGCTGGCTCTGTGTCATCATATGTCTAGTGGCATTGCATTGTTTGTAACCACAGAGGGACCGCAGGAATGCAACAGCTCTGGGTTTGGAGTCCCGGCAATGGTTGGTGAGCTTCTCTCAGAAGGCCCATCAGGGGCCCAGTCTGGACGAGGTGTCTCCAGCAGAGAACAGACGCAAGTAGAAGGGCAAGGTATCAGAGGGTGAGGGCAAGACAAGCCCAGCTCCTTCTAACTCACCCTCAGACCTCACAGATCTGCTCTTTGGGGTAAGATCGCTAAAGAGCAAATCATTGTATGGTGTCCCTTAGGTAACGACTTTGGGGACAAACCTCAGCTTCACGCTAGATTATGTTGCTTCCTATTTCGCTGGTCTGCTTGCTTCTACTAGATGAGAAATGCTTCATTTTCTACTGTCTTCCCTGTTGCCCTGCTCTGAGGAAATTCCCCTTATGTTCGGTTGGTCTTTCCTCAGCTGGGGTTTCTTAATAAAGTTCTTACCCCACCTCACCCAATCTCATTTGTTTTATGTTTGGTGCTTTTGTGCTTTGATGTGTGTTGGAAACTGCCTGGAGTTTATTTTGGAAAACAGTGTAAAGAAAGGGCTAATTATGTGGTACAGGAGGTCAGACTGCAGAGAAAAGGGTGGCTTCATGGAGGAGGTGGGGTCAGGGTGGCTCCCTGTGGAGGATGGGGCATTCCAAGCAGAGGGCACAGCCCCAGGGGAAGGCACAGACACCACTGGCACTCAGAGCTGCTTTAACCTAGCAAAACCCTAGAGTTCTTGGGAAATCTCTATCTGGTGAGAAATAGTACTTTTCAAACCAAGCATAGGGACCACAGGAGAGGTTTTCCAGCTCAAGAGTAATGTCGAGGACCCAGAGAGCAGGATACAAGGATATGTGCACATAGAGTTGATGGCCCACCTGAAGCCTGGCTGTGCCATCCTTCCCTCCTCCCCTAGACATACCATATTGGTGCTTTGACCATGAATTGGGTGGTCCTTTGTTGTGAGACAGAGAGGGGACTCCCTCAGTGTTTTTGTCAGCTCTGTGTTCAGTCATGTGCCTGTGATATAGGCATGGGTTCTGGGGGTGGCAGATAATCCGTGGTTAAGTGTTGGCACTGATGATAGCACATTGTGTGCCTTGGGGAGACGCTTAACCTCTAAGCCTCAATGAACTCGTCTGTAAAATGAGGATCATAGCACCCACCTATGGGTGGCTGAGTAAATAAGAATTGAAAAACAGCTGCCCGATAAATATTCCTTTTTTCCCTCCTTTCCATGGCCATTTGTGAAGGAAAAAAGGACCTTACCATGGCTACCATATACTTCAGAATGTGTCTTCACCCATTCCGATCCCCAATGCCACCTCTATCCCCACAGAAATACTGCACCAAACCAAACAGTTTGCTTTTCCCAGGGGTGCTTGCTGAAACCACACATGGAGCTGGCAGTACCTAGTCTTTTGCCACAGGCCCCTCCAGTGGCTGCATACAGCAGCCGCCCTCCTTGAAGCCAAAATAGAAGGGAGTACATAGGAGCGTGATGGGATAGACCTGTGTGCTTCAGTTGCCTGGGACAGCAGGGAGGTGCTGCGGTGAGCAGAGTCTTCAGTGAGAATTTGTCGGCTCATCTTAAAATTGCCCCATAGTACAGGAATGAGAGCAGCACCTCTCTCTTGGTGTGGCTGTCATGGTAAAAAGTTCACATGTATCAAGGGCTCTAGAACAGCGATGGCCCGTGGTGCTCAGTGCGTGTTCCTTGCCCAGCAGCTCAGGCTCAGCAATTCCACGTTGTTCATGTATCCTAAGGAAATGACTAAGTATGTGCAGCATTTTTTATCTCAGGGTGAGAATTGGAAACAACCTAAATTTCCCACAATGGGGGAGATTGGCTATGATTCACTCATGGAACGGAATGAAATAAACCATTTCAAGACAGAAGAATTTCATGATTAACCACTGAGT